ACAGATCCACTTCAATTCTTCAATAATTCAATTGACTTTTTTCCTGCAAGATCATATCAACAACATAGCCTCACCAAATTGGAAGAATTTGTATTTTCAAGTTCAAACAAAAAATCGTAAGTTTAACATTTTTTTTTTAAATTCATAATTTTACTATGTATGTATAATATGGAAATTATAGAAAAATAAATTTTTGTTATGTATAATTTTTTAATTTCCCCCCTTTTTTTTTGCAGAAGAGTTCGCGGACGTTGTAAAGTTTGTTATGATTATTGGAAAACTTTATTATCGAGCAAGGATGCATGCAATAAAGCAACAAAAGTTTCAACAGTATGCCAAGCATGTCCGGATCAACCTTTTTTATGCAAAAAATGTTTTGGACCTTATCATAAAATGTAGAGAAAAAAAAATTAGTTAATCAGAAGTGAAAAATAAACGAAAACATTCGGGCGAATAGTTTTAATTATAGCTTAAAAAATTAAATAATTATGATATATATATATAATTAAATTTATTATATATATGTATATATAAATAAATTAATAAATATATATATAATAAAAAATATAATATAAAAATAAAATCTGACTTTTTTAACCCTTATAGGACTGAAATTAATAATAATCATAAATATTTAAATTTAATTTCAATACTGAAATTAAATAAAAAAAAAAAATTAATTTAAGGGTATTTTTTATTACATTGACTTTGTTGATTTTTTCATATTTTAATTTGAATTTTGATACCTGAAATAAAAAAAAAATCATCCTCAAAGGGTTAAATAAATAAATATTTATTATGCTATTGTTCATATAACTATATTTACATTGCACGTTTGAAACTTCATATAAATAATTTTGTTTTATATAATTCATTAGTTATTCAATGAATATATATATATATATATGTAAAAATTATATAAATTATTTGAATAAAGAGCAACAAGGAAATTTATTTGATTCTATTATATCTATTAAGGCGCTCTCACAGCTTTTTGGCTGCCTGCAGGTTACCATGGCAACGCATGAGAGTGAGTGCGACAGAAAATTTGAATATTCAAATTTTCTGTCTCACTCACACTCGTGCGTTGCCATGGTAACCTGCAGGCAGCCAGAAAGGTGTAAGTGCGCCATTACTTGATCCAATTATTTAAAAAAATCTCATTTTCTAAATGGAATTATTATTAATAATTTTATGATTTATTAAATTATATTTATAAATATTAATTACAATTAATTAATAATAAAATTTGTTTATTGTCAAATTCATTCTAATTTTTTAAACTCCTTTTTTATTAGATTTAGTAATAATAAAATTGTAATAAACTTGTAAGAAAATTGCGGATATATTTAATTAATTTTTAAATTAGATGCTAAATAATTATGCTTTTAGTGCATTTTTCGGTCTGTCAGACCACTATTTCCCTTTTTTATTCTTTTCTAGTGATTTTAAATTATGTAATGACAACTGTCGTATATATATTTTTTACATTAAAAAGTCTATTTCATTATTTTATTTAAAAATATATTAAAAAATTTACATGGTGTTTAAATGTTTACAGAATCACGAAAACGTCAAAACAATAATTGCAGGTTATGATGACTGACAGAAAAATATGAAAAAATTTACCGAATTTACTTATACTTACGGCTAATTCCAATATCACAGACTGCTATAAACGACATTTTTATTGATATTATATAATTTAACGAACTTTAAACTTTTTTTAAATAATTGTCACCTAACGGTTTTTATGCAAAGCCAATTCTATGTGAGAAATCCCACAGCGTACGATGCTACTGAAAAACTGAAGAATGGTTTTTATTTGTACTTTAAGGCTGCTTACACAATATAGCTAAATCTCAATTTTTTAGAATGAGACGAGGCGCGCGCACCCATTGCCAACTGTCGACAAAAAAATTTATTCCCCGTGTTCCACTATTCTTATAATTTCAACTTGTTAATATTAAAAATTATAGAAAAAAATTTTTTTTATTTAAAATTAAAAATTCTATATCCTCCCAAATAAAATATTTGATAATTTCAATAATATTAATAAGCGGAAATTGTAGGAATATTGCCGTGCAAAACTAAAATACCGTAGCTTGTTTTTTACTTAGGTTATGTTGCACATTATGTTTCTATTTGAACAAAAAATAAAGAGATTAAAATTATAGAAAATTCGATTTGAATTTGATGGATAAAATTTTCTATAATTTCAATGTCTATAAACATAACCTAAATTTATAAAAAAAAACAAGTTACGATATTTCATTTATTTTTTCTCGTCAACTACCACACATTGCTCTCGTAAAATTTTAGTAACTTTTTTGTTAAAATTTAAAAGTTACTAAATTTTTACTAGAGCAGAGTGCAGTAGTTGACGAGAATTATGACAAATGGCGAAGGGACAATGGAAACCAACCAATATTACAAATTATTGTGGACAGAGCCTTATTTTATTGAATTTTAAAGGTGCTTTTATACCTCCAGTATTTTGGTCAAGCAATCAACTGGATTAAATTTTCATGAAGAATCACTGAATTTGATTGGCTCTAAAAATATTCAATTTTCACGGTGAAAATGGAATATTTATTAGAGCCAATGAAATTCAGTGATACAACCGTGAAAATTCAATCCAGCCGATTGCTTTACCAAAATACTGGAGGTATAAAAGCACCTTTATCCAACTTAACAATATTAGTTTCCCATCTCTGTATTGTGTTGAAAGAGGTTAGGTTAGTTTCCGTTCCCACTGGCCATTTGTTATAATTCTCGTCAACTACCGCACCCTGCTCTAGTAAAAATTTAGTGACTTTATTGTTAACATTAAAAGTTACTATAAAGTTACTAAATTTTTATTAGAGCAGGGTACGGTAGTTGACGAGAATTATGACAAATGTCGAGTGGGGACAATGGAAACCAACCTCATCCTAGAAAATCGTATTCAAAATGATGTGATTTAGCTATTATGGAAGCAATCTAAAGGTGCTTATTTTGTTTTGAGCGAGCGACAAATTTCCAAGGTCAAATATCAGTTTAAAAATTAAATATGGAAATTAATTTTGAATGAAAAATAGGTGGAAAAAGAAATTTAATTATGTTGTGTATTAAAAACTTTCTTTTTCATTATTTAATTCGATTAAAGAGATATTAATCAAAAATTTACAATAATGATTGTAATTTTATCATGTCTTTCACGGAGAGAAAAGTTACCAGTATATTTTTACTTGATACGTTTAGTATAGATTCTCACTAAACATCACAGTCATAGGGAGACTTTCGCTAAAAATAAATTACTTATAGATCATTCACACTTCGGTTGGGACAAAATTTTACAAAACAAAATATGTACACAAATTTGATTGGTTGTTCCAATAGAATATTTTTCATTCTTTTTAGTCTGAATGTGGACAGCCAATAAAATTTGTACATTTGATTGGTTTCCATTGTCCCCATTCACCATAATTCTTTTCAACTACCGCACTCTGCTCTAGTGAAAATTTAGTAACTTTTAATTTTAACAATAAAGTCACTAAATTTTTACTAGAACAGGGTGTGGTAGTTGATGAGTATTATGACAAATGGCGAGTGGAGACAATGGAAACCAACCAAAAAACTTGTCCAGAACAAAGTGTGAATGCTCCTCAAGGGAGCACAACTTACAAGTATAATTGATTGTGAACAACCAATCAGATTTGTGAATTTCTTTACGGACGGTAAATTTTTTTCGCCAGACATGTAAATGCTCCCTTACTTTTTAAACAAAATATTCCATTCTCTCCGTATTATAATAAATGATTTATTTCATAATTTTTAATTAATATTTTCAACAAAAAAAAAAGAAATAATGTACAATTTTTTAATTTAAATCAATAAAAAAAAAAGTAATTTAAAATCTGATTTTTTTTAAAAATAATTCTAATCTTGTTACAGATACGTCAATTTTCTATTTAAACGTTCAGAGATCTTATGGTGAAAATGAATCAACAGGAATGAATAATCCAAATAATGGAAGTCAATTGAATTCTTCTTCAACAGGAACATCAACGTGGTCATCACATGGCGATTCACATTCTTATAGTGCAACGAAAAAAAAATATTGCTGCCCCCGATGTAATAGAGGATACACACGAATATACGATATGAAAACACATTATCAATTTCAATGTGGCAAAGCGCCACGTTATCAATGTCCCTATTGTTCTAAAACTGATAAATTTAGTTCAAATATGTATAATCATGTGCGAAAAATGCACAGAAATGAGCCATTAGTCATTATTGATTTATTTAAACAACTATCGAGGACTAGTTATATTACATATAAGGACTAGTTGTTCATAATTATAGTTATACACGAAAAAAAAAGTTTGTTATTGACAAACTTGTTTGTACAACAAACTTTATTTTATCATAACCTCAAAATTTCATAACCTAAATTGTGTCGTTTTATCTTGAATTTCACTTTTATTTTTACTTTTTTCAGTTAAAAATTTCAATGATAAATCAAAATGAAAGTGAAAATAAAAAAATGAATGAAGCAGCCCAGATAGCACGCAAGTTTGCTGCCAACTTGCAGCCGACTTGCGTTGCAAGTTTTGCAAGTTTGCAATGTCCCAACGTAGCTTGCAAAGCAAGTTTGCAGCAAGTTTGCTGCAAGTTTGCAGCAAGTTTGCTGCAAGTTTGCTGCAAGTTTGCAAATACTACATTATATTTTGCAAAACTATATTTTAAATAAACAAAAAAACAATGCGCAGTTCAATTCTATAGCACATAGGGCTGCGCAGTAAATTTTTTTTACCTCCCAGCTATAGTGCTAAATACATAGTAAAGGGAATTTGTATCTTAAATTAAATTAATACTTAATTAATTAATACGTTAAATAATAAATTAATAATCTTCCAATGCAAGCTTGCTGCAAGTTTGCAGCAACCTTGCAGCAGACTTGCTGCAAACTTGCTTTGCAAGCTACGTTGGGACATTGCAAGCTTGCAGCAAACATGCAGCAAGCTTGCAGTGCAAACTTGCAAAACTTGCAACGCAAGTCGGCTGCAAGTTGGCAGCAAACTTACGTGCTATCTGGGAGGCTCATGGCGCCTCCATTGCAAAGTTTCGTGGCCCGCTAAGGTAACGTTTATTACCATGATAACGGTTGCTATGGACATGGTTACTATGGAAACGGTTGCTATGGACATGGTTACTATGGAAACTGTTACTATGGAAACAGTTACTATAGAAACGGTTACTATGGAAATGGTTGCTATGAAAGCGGTTGCCATGGTAACGGTTACTATGGAAACGGTTGCTATGGACATGGTTACTATGGAAACAGTTACTATGGAAACTGTTACTATGGAAACAGTTACTATAGAAACGGTTACTATGGAAATGGTTGCTATGAAAGCGGTTGCCATGGTAACGGTTACTATGGAAACGGTTGCTATGGACATGGTTACTATGGAAACTGTTACTATGGAAACTGTTACTATGGAAACAGTTACTATAGAAACGGTTACTATGGAAATGGTTGCTATGAAAGCGGTTGCCATGGTAACGGTTACTATGGAAACGGTTGCTATGGACATGGTTACTATGGAAACAGTTACTATAGAAACGGTTACTATGGAAATAGTTGCTATGAAAACGGTTGCCATGGTAACGGTTACTATGGAAACGGTTGCTATGGTAATATGGAAACGGTTGCTAATGTAATCTTTTGCTATGGAAACGGTAACTATAGCAACCGTTGCTATGGTAACTGTTATGACGGCAACCATACGAGTGTACGATGGACGGAGGGAAGGACGTCAAAGCGAAACTATAAAGGTGCTTTTATACCTCCACTATTTTGGTAAAGCAATCGGCTGGATTGAATTTTCACGGTTGTATCACTGAATTTCATTGGCTCTAACAAATATTCCATTTTCAACGTGAAAATTGAATATTGTTAGAGCCAATCGAATTCAGTGATTCTTCGTGAAAATTAAATCCAGTCGATTGCTTGACCAAAATACTGGAGGTATAAAAAGACCTTAAGGCTTTCGAGCATAAGACACGAAACCCTAAAGATGAAGATCAAAGTGAAAATAATTAACAAACATACATTGTTGATTAGAACTTCAAGGTTATGTTATGAGGCAGTTTGTGTAATTTCTTTTTTATTTTCACTTTCATTTTCTTTTAAGTAAATAATCAAAATGAAAGTGAAAATGAAATTTAAAGTCAAAGTGAAAGTAAAAATAAAGTTCTAATAAGAAATTCGAGGTTATGTTATGAGGAAGTTATAGTGTAATTTCATTTTTACTTTTATTTTAATTTTCTCTTTAGTAAAAAATTTCTGTGAAAAATCAAAATGAAAGTGAAAATCAAATTGAAAGTGAAAAGTTAAAAAAAATACATTGCCGATTAGAAATTCGCGGTTATGTTATAAAGCATAAACTTTTTTTTCCATGTATAATGTAATATAAAAAAAAAAATTACTTCGTATATATGTAAATGTTTTAATTCAATTTATGTAAATTTGTTTTTTTTTTAATATAAATTTTTTTCAAACTTTCCCGCAATAAGACATAAACTAAAATTTATTAATATAGGTATCATATTTTGAAAATAGATACAAAATATTTTTATTTGGAAAAATTTCTTCGTTTTTTTTTTATAATTATTTGGAGATGATTTTTAAAATATGTAAAATAAAAATATTTCTATAATGATATATATTTTTTTTAACTTCTTGAGTGTCTTTATAAGACTATTCTTTATAGGTTATAAAAAAATAATTTACGTGAAATGTCGTTTTGTAAAAATTACACAAAATCTTGTAAATATTATATATTATCACTATGTAGCAATTGATAGCGAAAATCCCTTTTTCTATAAATATTATATATATATATATATAAAAATGTACTTAATATGTGAAATAAGAGATAAAATAAACTATTTTTTTGGTTCAATCAAATTTTGCCATTTATCGATACAATTTGTTGCAATTGAGTTTCGTTAGATTACTCTTAAACTAAAATACTTCTTTAAAAAAAAATTTTTTTTTATTATTAAATATTATATTTTTATTTATCAGTTTTAAAATTTATTATTTAAATTTTTTTTGTTTTTTAATTAAAAAGAATTGTTTTCTTTTTGCAAAAATTTTTTTCTTAGAACAAAAAAAATTGTCTTACTAACAAAAAATTATTTCTTTTTTTTGTTTCAGATGTTAACTCTGGCATGCTTCCAATTTCTCGAAATGTGGAAAATTTTAGTGGTTATCATAATTCTATTTATGAAAATCCCGAGAGAAATTTCAAAAATTTTCCTTGTCCCAATTGTCCAAGTGCTTTTACTCGTAAAAATGGACTTATTTGCCATTTACGATTTGAATGTGGACAACCACCACGTTTTAAATGTCCCTATTGTGACTATAGATCAAAAAAATCATCAAATGTTCAAAAACATGTTCGTATTAAACATCCAGGCGAACCTGTATCTTATTTATTTATATAATATAGAGTACAAAAAATATTATAAATCACTATATAATGAAAATAAAATAAAAATTATTTCTATTTTGTATGAATATAAATATTGTAAAGAAGAAATAAAAAAAGATTTTTAAGATTAAATGTTTTTTTCATTAAAGTTTTTTTAAAACATTGGAAATAACACATTATATTTACATAATTTCACATTAAAAAAAAAATTATAATTTTCAAATAATATAATTTGGTATTAATTATATAGAAATATTTCATGTAACAAAATGTATTTCCTCTTATCATATGTATTGCTTTGAAGAATATTGATAATAATTATACTAAAATTGGAAAAAAAGAAGACGAGATGAAAAATTAATTTATTTTTTTTAATTTTTAGATTACAGAACATCAGCTGAAACAACATTTGTTTGTCCACAATGTAAACGTAATTTTCGACGAATGAAAGGATTAAAACAACATATGACTTATGAATGTAATCGACTACCACGTTTCCAGTGTCCCTATTGTTGTCAACGTTCAAAACTTTTGTCAAATTTGTATAAACACATTCGACGAATTCACGCTGGAAATAAAGTCTGGGGAATTGATCTACATCAATAATGAATCTTGGTTAATTAAAAAAAAAAAAAAAAATTAAATAAAAATTTAATTCTACCTCAGTCGTTAAAAATATTCACGGAAAAATCTCGGGAACATTTTTATTATTTATATAAAAATTATTGATAATACTCAAATTTTAGAATTGTATTTATTTTTATGAAAAAAGTTTCTTTTTCATTTAGTTCAGGAGAAATTTACAATTTTTCAGTGTAACTTTACCAATTTATTTGAAATTTGGTAATATATTTAATTTAATTCTTTAAATCTATTATTTTTATATTTAGTTCTAATGTTTTTTTATCAAATTTAATATTTATTAATTATTTGATAATTATTATTTAGTGTGAATAATTTTAAAAGTCATGACAAAGCAAATATTATTTATAAAAATTTTATATTATTTATTATTATTACTTTATTATTTATAAAATTTAATTTAAAAAATTCCCGTAGTAATTAATTAGATAATTTATTTATTTTAATTTAAAAATTGATTTTTATAGAAAAAAATATATTTTGCCAATTGGTAAAATTATTCCTACTAAAAATATTTATCTGAAAATAAATAATAAAAATTAATTTTAATTAAAAATCATAACTAAATATAAAATTAATAAAAATACTTAATAATTTATTTTATTACTTTTTAAATATTTTCTTAAGCGCGTTGTGATTTCGCTACGAGTATGGGAATTACCTGTGAAATTATATTTTTAATGAATTTTCAATTCTTGACGAAAATGTACAACGAGGATTTAGGGTGATTCCCCTTGTATATTGATACTCGTGGCAAATTCACACGACGGTCCAGGCATGGGTAGGTAAAATATTCATATGTCGATGAAAAACGAATTGTTGTAGAAACAGCTTTAATCGCGCAACGTGTAACATGTCTTCCTCAGTACTTCAGAATGACTCGGTTAACATCGTTTCTGTCAGCTGATTAGTTAATTTGTAAAAGTCATTATTGTCAAACGGTCTAGAATTTCTTAAAGTTTGTTAAAAAAAAAAATCGAATCATTTTATTCTTGTTGATTATAAAACAGTGTAACGCAAGAAATATTTCCTTCTTTAAATTTTTCAATTTAGTGATCGCAAACATAAGTTAACTTGTTTTGTTTAAATAACTTTATTATCTCACAAACAAATAATTGTTTTTACTTAAAAAGTTGATTTTCTGAAACTTTATAAATATTACCCAGTTTTTAATTAAATTCGTGAGGTTACTCCAAAATATAGTAAATTTCTCGTAAACTCTTAGAGAAATAAATCTATTATTACAATTATTTATATATATATCGAATTATTTATACTAAAAAATCTAAAATTAAATTAATGTTCCTAAGATAGATCCGAATGTAAAATTATATTAAATTGTTTATAGGTATAATTTATATTTAAAATATTTAAATGCACAAATAACGTAAAAAAAAAACTTATTTAAGAGTGCTTAGCCCATTAACATAACCTCAAACTAAAAAGTTGTTTTTAACTGCAAATAAAATAAAATTTATCAAATTTTGAAATATTCAGTTGTATTATTTTCAAAATAAATTATTTTGCCCAAAAATTTGTTGCTGAATAATAATTATTTCATGCTTTATAGTTTTTGTTTAAAGTTTTGTTAAACCATTTGTTATTTTTATCAAATTCTTATAAACATTTCTCATTTTGTTATTAGAAAGATTTTCTATAATTCTGTTCGTTGAATTTTTTTAACAATATTTTGTTCAAAAGTTAATAAACAAATAAAATTTTTATTTTTCATATTTTTTTAAACAAAAACAAAAAAAATTATTATAAAAATTAAAATTGTTCACTAACTTTTAAGAAAAAACACAAAATGTTTATTAATTATTATTTAACAACAAATTTTAAATGAAAATAATTTTTTTTTTTAATTTTACAACTGGATTCTTATAATTTGGGTGAAATCAATTTTAAATATATATTTTTAGTTCCGTTAAAAACTACTTTTCAGTTTGAGGTTATGCTAATCGGTTAAACCTCATTAACCTTCTCCCTGTCCTGGGTTATCCCCACTCCAGCGCTATAGAATGTATTTCCCATAGTCCCCACCAGGCGACCGAATTGTCGTTTTTTTTTGTCGATAACCGTCACTAGGACAGGGAGAGGGTTAAAAAAAGTTAAATGTTTGTACAATCCCTGGCGGATTAGTTCAAGCGTATTTTGAGCGATATCGCTTAGAAATCGCTTAACTTCGCTTAGAGTGAAAATTTATTGATAAATTGTTTTAAAAAATGATATAAAAGTGAAAAATAAAGGTAAATTAGTGTTTATATATACATATATGATTTATAGAAAAATTGTGATAACCCTGGCAAATTGTATGCGATGCGAATGCTCCACGAAATTCGCGGAAAATTCATGGAACACGAGGTTGAGATTGAAATTCTGTTTAAAATGTATAAAAAATGATGAAATTGATAGTATAATTATTAAAATCAATAAGTTTTATGCATTTTAAGATGATTATTGTTAAAAAATTCTAAAAATTTAATATATTTATTAATTTCAATCTATTACAGTTTATTATCAACATTTGTCGATAAAATCAATAGAGATTTTTTTTTTTTCTTAATCAAAAGCAAAACTCTTATTAATTAAACGGCAATATTGTTGAAAAAAATGAATTATTTTATCAAAAAAATTAATATTTTCATAAAAAATATTGGTGAAAAAAATGAATTTTTTATCAAAAAATTTTTTCAAACATATGGCTAAAGAAAGATTAATTTTTAAAGGAAATATTCATGAAAAAAATAATTATTTTATCGAAAATATGTCCAAAAAAAATTATTTTTTTTATCAAAAATATTGGTAAAAAAAAGTAAGTTTTAAAGGAATGAAAGAATTAATTATTTCTATGAAAAAAAAAATTGTTAAAAATGAATTATTTTATCAAAAATATTGGACAATGAAATTAATTTTTTTATCAAAAAGAAGGTTACAGATATTAATTTTTAAACAGAAATATTGGTAATATTTTTCATAAAAAATAAATTTTTGTCACCCATATTTTTAATAAAAAATACGAAATTTTCATCAATATTTTTGATTACATAATAAATTTTTTTTCACCAATATTTCCATTTTAAATTAATTCTTTTTAACAAAATTTTTTAGATTAAAAAATTCATTTTTTTCACATATATTTTTTTTATGAAAATATTAATTTTTTTGATAAAATAATACATTTTTTTTACCAATATTTCCGTTTAATAAATAAGAGTTTAGCTTTTGATAAAAAAAATACAGAAAAATTTTTTTAAAAAAAGTGTACTGCCACCTATCTCCTAAAAAGCGCGTCTCTCTATTGATTTTATCGACAAATGTTGATAATAAACTGTAATAGATTAAAATTAATAAATACATTAAATTTTTAGAATTTTTTAACAATAATCATTTTAAAATGCATAAAACTTATTGATTTTAATAATTATACTATCAATTTCATCAATTTTTATACATTTTAAAAAGAATTTCAATCTCAACCTCGTGTTCCATGAATTTTCCGCGAATTTCGTGGAACATTCGTATCGCATACAATTCGCCAGGGTTATCACAATTTTTCTATAAATCATATATATAGATAAACACTAATTTACCTTTATTTTTTACTTTTATATCATTATTTTAAACAATTTATCAATAAATTTTCACTCTAAGCGAAGTTAAGCGATTTCTAAGCGAAATCGCTCAAAATACGCTTGAACCAATCCGCCAGGGAATATAAATAAATTGTTAATAGAAAAATATATTTGGTATATATATAGTATGTAAAAAGAATAATAGTGAAAAATGAATTTTTCTTTTGGAAATTTATTTTTTTTAACATATGTACTTAGGAAAATGTTTGTAAATAAATAATATGGTGATTGTCATTAAAGTTAATAAATGTATTTGTTAAATAAACAACTGATTTTAAATATATAATGAAATATTTAATTAATTAAATATAATAATTATTTATAATAATAATATATTATTATTCTAACTTAATTTCTTTTCAGTTAATATAAAAAATTATCTCTTTTTCTGAAAATCAAACAATATTTTTCATGTTATGTAATATTTATTTATTTTTTTATATTTTCAGATATTTTTTTTTTATTTATTTGGATTAATTTTTATATAATTAATTTTCAATAGTAAAAAATTTAATTGAGAGAAAATTTTTTTAATTTAAAAAAAAAAATTTAATTTTGAAATTAACTTTGAATATAATTGTTTTCAGATTATTTGAACTACAATGGAATACGAATTTATGCTGTAAGAGATTCAACGGGAAGAGATAAATTTCCATGTCCAAAATGTTCTAGCCAATTTACAAGAAAGGATAATTTGCAGAATCATTTACGTTACGAATGTTCACAACCACCGAGATTTAATTGTCCCTATTGTTATTACATCACAAAAAATTCTTCTAACGTTAGAGCTCACGTTCGTAGAATTCATCCAGGCAATGAAATTTTTGTTGTTGATGTTACAAAAATTTATTCACTACAGGAGGATAAAAAATTTCTCTCTAAATAATTTGAATGAATTTTAATCGTTTGTACAGTAAATTTTACAAATTTTTGTAAATACATAAATATATTAAAAAAATTATTAGGTTTATAAAATTAGTTCAATTTCTCCTTTTTTTTCATATAATTAATAATATAAATATTGTACGTATCTTTTATACATAAGTAACAAATTTTGTTATTACAAATATTTTTTTTCCCTTTTTCTTCGTTTCATAAATAATTATGTTATACTTTATTTTCCATCAAATCAAAAAATTTGTTATTAATTTTTACATTAATCCAACATTAAATAAAAATGTTTTTTCAATAAATTTTGTTGTTTATTTCTATATTATAATTCTTTATCACTGAAACAATAAAGAAAATTCAAATTGAATTTTATTTTTTTATTTAAAAAAATAAAAAAATAATTTCATTTTTTTTCACACTGAAAAGACAAAAAAAAAA